TAGGTGATAAGGGACACTTTAAGTTGTAGAATTACAAATACTTAGAGGAGGAATAGGCATTCATCTTCTAAATATAAAGAAATTGATACCAAACCTGTCCTAGTCTGGACAAGTAGAAAACTTTGCTAATGAATCCTTTCTTCCCCCCACTGAACGAATTGAAAGAAAAATGTCCTTCTGGGTTTAACTAGAGATTTTTATGTGGCAGTATGTTACCAGTATTTATCTAGAAATGCATAATATTCTGCAACCATTCATTGAAATCTCTCTAGAATGTCATTTAAGATCTAATGAGCCTTAAATGTGATATATCTGGTATTTGAGGTCTGTGAGCTCTTTCAGTAAGAATATTCTTCTGGAAAAATTATAAATGACTTTCTGTGCACTCACAATTAACACATTATCAGGACATTTGATTACTAAATGCTATCATTCTCTCTTTAGAATTATATAAATAGATTGATAAATATGCAGATAGGAGTGAAAGATTATTCAGGGTGATATAATCCTGGTTTGGTTGCCCTTTTTAGTACCAGAAGAGAAAATATTGTTTTTCTTATCTATAGGATATTTCATTATAATTGCTAATATCCTACAATTCCCTTTCAGTCTGATAAGTGAAATGAGAAGAATGGAAAGAGTAGGAAAGATAAATTCTCATAGAGAAAATGAAATCTATGAGCACAAGTTTCCAGAACAATCCAGTTAGAAATAAAGTGCTATAATCTACTCATATATTTTGCACAAGGGAGCTCTAATGGCCTAGTGATATGGAGTTGAACTGCCAAACAATGGCACAATGTTTGAATGCACCACCTGTAAAAGGAGAAAGGTGGGCAGTCTTTGTCCATTCAATTCACAGCTTCTGAAAACCTGTTGAATTGTCACTATGAGTCAGTTCCAAATTGACAGTACACAACAACAACATTTTATATATGCTGTGTTGTTGTTAAGAGTTGTCAAATCATACATGACTCATAGCGAGCCTATGAACAAAAGTCCTTGACAATTGCGTGCATGATTTTCATCCTTTTCTCGAGATTCGTAGGGTTTCTAGAGGCAAGTGGATGCCACTCCTGCTTCCAAATTTTATACACACACACACACACACACACACACACACACACATAAAGTAAAAGAATCAGATGTAATTTTGTCCCTTCCAGAATTACCCTCCCTACAAAAATGATAGGTGGCATAGTAACATAGTCCATACAGAGTTGTGTTGCTAACCCAAAGTCTAATCCAAAAGTTAACCCTAACTTTGAAGCATCAGTGATTTCAGCAAAAGAAAGATGGTCACTCTCTCACCATGTGATTTACAGCCTCAGAAACCAGCTAGAAGGTCAGCTATGAGTCGGTTCTGACTCAATGTCAATGAGTCAGATTTCTTGTTTTCATTTATTAAGAAATGCTCTAAATCACTGTCAATAGAAAGATGCAAATAAAAAACACAGTAAGATACCATCTCACTCCAGTAACAGTGGCAAAGTTTAACTGGACAGCAAGTAATAAATGTGGTGAGACAGGAACTCTTATACTTTGTTGGTGGGACTGTAAAGTGGTACAACCATTCCTAGAGTCAGTTTGGCACTTCCTCAAAAAGCTGAACATAGAAATTCCATATGACTCAGCTATTCCACTGCTTGGAATACACCCTGATAAAATGAGAACTGAGGCACAAATGGAGACTTGTACAGCAATGTTCATAACAGCATTATTCACCATTGCGAGAACATGGAAACAGCCCAGATGTCCAACCACAATTGAATGAATTGAGAAATTATGGTACATTCATACAATGGAATACTATGCAGCATGAAAAGCAATGATTTTATAAATTATTACTTAATTTGGGAGGGACTTGAGAATATTATGCTGAGCGAACTAACTCAGTCCCACAAGGACAAATATTGTATAAAATCATTATTGTAGAATGAGCATAAGGATCCAAGAGGGAGGGAGGGTGAAAGCAGAGGGATGAGGATATGCAAGGGGAGGAGGGGATTAATCATGAAGTTGTACAATTTGATGGATGGAGGATGAGGGAAATTGGAAGAATCTGACCTGGAAAACAATGTATGCGAATTTTAGAAATAAATTAGTATACGAGAGACATTCTAAGAAGTAGTTCTACAATGATACAGAAATCACTAACTCATTATGTCATGTTTTGCTATTTAATGTAATATTGTCTTCTTAGGATGAATATAAACTATGATTAAAACTTCCTTTGTTAACACTATTTTATTTGATGCTTTGATTCTTAGAGTTTCTATTAAAGTGAAGTATTTCCCTTTGAACACCAGAATGTCTTGTGTCTGGTAAGGAAAACAAGTTCACAAGTTTCAAAATGTCTTTATGTTTTGAAGCTAAAGTGGCTCATTAATAAATTAAACCTATGTGTTCAATTTAAAGATTTAAAGTTAGGAAATATGTACATGAGGGTTGTATCCTCTTCCCATGCCTATTCAATCTGTATACTGAGAAAAATCATTTAAGTAGCTGGGATCTAGGAAGAAGATTGTAGCATTAGGATTAGAGGAACATTAACCAACAACCTCTGTTACGCAGATGACACAACCTTGCTTCCTGAAAGAGGACTTGAAGTGCTTCAAGAAAACAAAAATTCTCGCTACTGGACCAATAGCAAGATCAAAATAGGTAGAAAAATATCGAAACTGTCAAAAACTTCATTTATGTAGAACCATAATCAAGTCCTTGGTACTCGTAGTCAGAATATGAGAAGATAAACAGTGGAAGTCTGAAGTCAGAGACTTCTCCAAATTGTTAAAGGAAAATTATGTCAGTTTAAAGACTAAGGTGCACCCGATTTGGACCATGGTCTTTTCAATCACTTGCTATTCACCTGAGAGCTGAACAATGAATAAGGATGGCAGAAGAAAAACTAATGCCTTTGAGCCATAGTGTTAAAGAAGGATACTGAATATCCCATGGACTAGGAAGTGCAGCCAGAATACTCCATGGAGGCAAGGATGGCAAAACTTTGTCTAACACGCTTTGGGCATGTTGTTATTAGGTGCTGCTGAGCTAAGTAGGACTCATAACCATTCTGTGAACAACAGATCTGAACCCTATCCATCTTCACAATTTCCGACACCCTCAAGCCAATTGCAGTAGTCTCTATGTCAATTCATCTAGTTGAAAGTCTTCCTTTCTTTAGCCATCCCCTCACCTTCCCAAACATGATGTCCCTCTCTAAGGTATGATTTTTCTTAGCAACTTGCTCAAAATATGTAAGACAAAATGTCATTATCTTTGCTTCCAAAGAGCACTATGTCTGCACTTTCTCCATTTGTTCTTCTGGTAGTCCATAGGATATTCAGTACGCTTTAGTCATTGTCTAGTTCTCAATTGCATGGCAAGTGACTGAAATAACCACAGCCTGAATCAAACACACCTTAGTTCTTAAACTGACATCATTGTTCCTTAATAATTTGGAGAGCTCTCTGACTACAGATTTATTTTATTTATTTTTTTT